CTTCAGAAGGAAAAAATCCAATGACAACAGTGTGACTCTTGGTTAGATCCATATTTTGCTCCACTTCTGAACAAGTAATTATCTTGTCACGAGAACAGTCAAGGGTGGGATTACCTAAACTTTTCCTCAGTGGCTCAGGCAGTTTAGAATTCTGGTCTGGTACAGATTTAACTATATGACTGTTAACACCAGTATTAGGATTTTCCATGGCAGATTGGCCTTCTGAAGACTGTTTAGTGATTGGAAACAAAGCTTGCTCACATGAAACTGTATTTCTATTCTTTCCCAGTGCTACTTGTTTATGAAGATCTCCACGAGAGTATACTATATTATAGCTTGTTGCTTTGTCCTGGTTAATATCCACTGGCTGAGGAGAAACTTTATCAAGATAGGGTGAAATCTTCAAAACTTGATCTATTTCTTTGCCCCAGGCATCAGTTAGGATGTTTGTAGATATTATTTTTGGTTGTCGGGAGAGTTCATTATGAGTTTTGGTCTTTTTTCCCCATTCATCTAAAAGGCTTTTGCTGTCAGAGTGAGATGTACTGGCATCCTTGAATGCTAGATTATAAGATGCAAAAGGAGCTTGACTTCCTAAATTAGTTGTATGACTTTTAGTCAAACCCTCATCTTCACCTGTGAAGATTACAGTCTTTTTACCAGCCAATGAAGTAGACAAAGGATCTGCCTGGGTCTGTTTTAATCTTTCCTTAGATACATGAGAAACTGAGATACAATTTACATTCATTTCCTCATCCTTTGACATAGTTATGTGATTTTTGAGCATCATTTCTTTTTCAGATATTGGTTTGGCTGTTATCTGGACATTTGTCTGATCTTCTTTAAAAATTTGATTTTCTATTACAAGTGTCTGACTCTTGGTAATGTCCATGCTATCCTCTCCTGAGTAAATCGTTTTCTCCATGAGAAGAGAGCTGGTATCTGGATTATGACACATTTTGGCATAATTACGGTCATCCTTTAGCAAATTTTCTTCCTCTTTCATACTTGAGAGACACTTGGTCAGTTCCATGGCATCATTACAAGTAGAATACAAAAATGTTTTATAATCTTGAATTGCTGGACTGAAACATACAGATTCCGGGACCATGGCCAATGTTCTGACGTCTTGGTTAGAAGTCTGTGTGACCATGTGAGTTTCTGTCCCCATAATATGACCTCTGGTAATATGTATGTCACCTTTAGGATTTAAGGGAGAGTCTGGAAAAGCAGCATTTGGTTTATTCTCAAAGACTGTCGTCTTTGCTGGAGCTTTAGTTCTATAACCTGTTGTAACATCCATCATGATAGTCTGAGTTTGATTTTCTATTTCAGATAAATTATCTGCAGAGGGTAAAATTTGTATAGTGCGGTTTATTATCAAGTCATTACCATAAACTGTAATATCACTTTTAAATTCCCTTAAGTTGGCTTCAGGTGATATGGGAACCAAAGTTTGAATATTGGATGTATAACACTTGGTGAAATTCATCCCATCATCTTCTTCTATAAAGATTCTAGTCATATTACTGTTATTTTCATCTACATTAAGGGATACATGCTTTTGATGTATGGAAGAAGCCTTATTTGATTCTATGGAATGAATAGGTATCTCAGAATTTTCTTTATCAGGTCCTATAGAAGAATTAGATTTCCCTGTTTTCAATCTTTTTATGAAGTCATTGAAATTTATTTTCTTTTCTGAATTAGTGTTTTGATCCATGGAAAAATTCAATTCTTTTTTCATTCTTGAATCCTCAGTGTGAAGTTTTAAGTTAGCCACAAATGATGTGGTATCTGTCTTGGTGGACTTTTCACTTTTTGTACAATCTAAAAGGCCTTTTGTAATCATCACGGTGTGACTTGCTGTCAGGTCCATCTGATTTTCATCTGAAAAGATAACTGTCTGGTCATTTGAATGTGTCTCTTCATGGTTGTATTCTGTAACTGAAATCTATAATGAAAGCAAAATATTTTAAAAAATCAAATACAATAAAAACTTTAAAAATGTATTTTACAACATGTACTGTAAAAATAATTGTCCATGATTGGTTTGTTTGAATCAATGGTGTGCTGTGTAGTACATAATTTGTTATTAAATTTTTTTCTAGCCTGGCAGGTGTAGCTCAGTGGTTAAGCATTGACCTATGAACCAGGAGGACATGGTTGGATTCCCAGTCAGGGCACATGCCTGGGTTGCAGGCTCGATCCCCAGTAGGGGGCATGTAAGAAGCAGCCAATCAATGATTCTCTCTCATCATTGATGTTTCTATCTTTCTCTCCTTGAAATACTTTTAGTATTTTTGGACAAATTAAAAGTTCAAGGTTAATTCTACACCCATTAGAATGACTAAACATAAAAAGGACTGACAATTCCAAATGCAAATATAATGAAAATTATAATTACTGATAGGTCATTCTCTTTTTAAATAAAAGACTCAGAAAGGGATAAGTGCATAGCTGACTACTTTATAGAATACTTCTGAACCCTTGGAAGTTGGATTCTCTTTGAATCTTAATGCAGTGATTTTATTTGTAAGGATATGGTCAAACTCCTTGCTACTCAAAGTATGGTCTATAGACCAGGGCACTAGTAAGACCCAGGAGATTGATAGTATAGAATCTCAGGGCCCACGCTAGATCTACTGGATGAAAAATCTATATTTTTAAACAAAATACTGTGATGATTCATATGCCCATTAAAGTGTAAGAAGTCCTGATATAACTAATATATTTCCCTATTATTTAAACTGGCAGTGATTTAACTTTCCTTAGTTAACTCGAAAGGTAGGAAGTTTTCCCAGTCTACAGGTCCATTTTGATTGATAACCCCTAAATCATGCCATTACCATTAAATTTTGACTTCTTAAAATGTTTCAACTGTCAAGGGAAATTAAATATGAAGGCACTTGCATGAACTCATACCTCTCTCTGTTGCATCTGGGTCTGAATGGGAGCACAAAGCAACGTGTTCATTCCTATTAAGAAAAAAAAAATAGTCAATGACAAAAATATGTATCACCAAGGGCCTTTTGTTAGATTCTTCATCGGTTACAAGTACAGTAGTACCTTATCAGCGGCTTTGCTTTTTTCAGTCTCATTTATTCGTGGTCAACCATGATCTAAAAATATTAAGTGGAAAATTCATGGAACATATTCCCTATTGATAAGGGGGGCTACTGTATTTACTAAAGTTTTACTAGTTACTAAGCCCTTTATAAGGACTTAGGTATTAAATTTCATTGACTTAATTGTCCCATGTTAGACAGAAACAGTTATTGTATTCTCTGTGTGACTAAAATGTTTTTAGAATGTGGCACAAATTTTAAACATGGAAAGTTTGGACCACATTTTCCCCCCTTTACTTCTCCATTTTTATTACCTGGATAGTAGAAGTTACATGATAAGATTTGAATCACCTTTTATTCTATGTTAAGGAATCTAGACATTCCCATGATGAAATGTGCATTTTATAAAAATAACTAGTGGCCCAGTGAACGAAATTCGTGCACATTAAAAGGGAATTAATTAGAGGAAATATTTTTTAATATATATTTTTTATTGATCTTTAATATTGCTATTTGCCTTTTCTCTATAATAGAAGTGTCAGAGATGAAAGAAAATTAGTAAAATGTATTATGAAAATCTTCCTTCTGTCAGAGTATGGGGCATGCCGTGGGACCCAGAGTCAAGTCCCCGCCCAGCTGCGTGCACCTCGAAATCACGTGAGACCCGGACCTGGCCGGCCCTACCCCCATTGGGCAAGATCCAGACCTGACCAGCCCCACCGTTGTCAAGCCCTGCCAGTTGGGGGGGTGCAGGCTCAGGTCCCCCGGCCTGGGGCGGGGGGCGTGGCCTGAGGTCCCCCGTCCAGCCTTGTTGGGTGTGGGGCACAGCCTCAGGTCCCCTGCCCCAGCCTGGTGCCACACAGCCTCAGGTCCCTGATGATCACTCGTTACGGCTCGTTACAGGAACCCCACCTCCACTGTGGGCATAGCCATCTTGTGATGGCATGAGGGTTAATTTGCATATTACCTCTTTATTATATAGGATTATTTCTAGTCTCCACACCAGACTCCTCCCTCAGAGGTATCTAGAGAAGGAGCATGAAGTAGACTCAAGAAAAAGAAGAACCAATAAGAAAACTACTGTAGCCCTGACCAGTTTGGCTCAGTGGCTAGATCAAGAGCATGTGCCTTGGTTGCGGGCACATCCCCAGTAGGGGGGTGCAGGAGGCAGCTAATGGATGTTTCTCTCTCATGGATGTTTCTAACTCTCTATCCCTCTCCCTTCCTCTCTATAAAAAATCAATAAAATATATTTTTTTAAAAAAAAGAATACTGTAATAATTCAAACACAACTTGATGAGATTTTATGTTAGAGCAAGATACAATGAGAATGGAAATAAGGAACTAGAGTCAAGACATTTTAGAACTTATAATAAAAAAAGCGTAACATGCTAATTAGACCGGACGTCCTTCCGGACAACCTTCCAGACGAAGCTGGGGCTGCGAGGGAAACCCAGGTCCCAGGTGCCAGAGGGAAGCCGGTGCCGGCAGCTGGGGGAAGGAAGGCCTACTCTTGCACGAATTTCATACATCGGGCCTCTAGTTAAAATATAAAGGTTTACGTAACAAACTGGACTTTAGAAATACAGGATTGAAGATGCTATAATAAAAAAGGAAATATTTTTTAAATACTTAAGTTAAAAAGTAAATCTTTAGCCCTGGCTGGTGTGGTTCAGTTGGTTGGAGCATCATCCTATACACCTGCATATAAGAGGCAACCGATTTATGTTTCTCTCTCTCTCTCTCTCTCTCTTTTCTCTCTCCCTCTAAAATCAATAAAAACATATACTCTGGTGAGGATTTAAAAAGAGCATGTTGCCCAGCTAGTTTGTGTCATGGACAGAGTTCTATAATAGCCCTAGCTGGTTTGAATAGAGCATTGGCCTGTGGGCTGAAAAGTCCTGGGTTCGATTCCAGTCAAGGGCACATGCCCAGGTTGCAGGCTCAATCCCTAGTAGGGGGAATGCAGGAGGCAGCCAATCAATTCTCATCATTGATGTTTCTATCTCTCTCTTCCTCTCCCTTCCTTTCTGAAATCAATAAAAAAAAATTTTTTAAAAAATCTACAATAATAAAAGCATAATATGCTAATTAGACTGGACCTCCTTCCAGATGACCTTGTGGAAGAAGCCAGAGATGTGAGGGAAGCCTGGGTCCTGGGTGCCAAAAGGAAGCTGGTGCCAGCAGCCAGGGGAAGGAAGGCCTACTCTTGTAAAAATTTCGTGCATCAGGTCTCTAGTAATAACAATAGGTAAAAATAGGCTCTGGCCAGTGTGATTCAGTTAGTTGGACTGTCATCGCATGCACTGAAGAGTTTTGGGTTTGATTCCAGGTCAGGGCACATACCCAGGTAGTGGGTTCAATCCTGATCAGGGTACATATGGGAGGTAAACAATCCATGTTTCTCTCTCTCCATCTCCCTTTTTCTCTCTCTAAAATCAATAAAAATTAAAATAAATAAAAATAATGGCAAATCTTTAGAAGAGTTTAAAGAGTTTACAGAAACCTTGATTAAACATAGGGAAGTAATTATAGGCTTTTTGTTATAAGCCTTATTTATTTATTAAGTTTCCACTCATTTATTCAACAAATACTGCTTCAGAACCTATTATGATCCCCAAAACAACTGTCTACTAAAGTACAAAGTGAAGACAAAATTTTTGGACTCAAAAAAATTTCGTTTAACAAAAGAGCCAAAAATAAATACCAAACTACAATGTGATAAATTCTACAAGAGACTGAGAAACAGAAGGAGTGTTGTCAAAACACAGGACAGAGTGATTAACTTATTGGCTTTGCCAAAAAACAACTCCATTTAAGCCAGTACTACTTAGTGTATGGTGCCAGTCTGTGAACTGCTAAATCAAAAGCATTTCCATTACTAAGAAAAAATGTCAGCTAAACAAAATAATAGCTTACAGCCACAGTTGATTTACATTCCAGAGTAACTTCGTCTCAGTCATGGATTGTAATAGTTTGTGGACTGGTTACTTTGAAAAGCACGAAAGTTATGCTATGTGAAAAATGAGAAGAATGCTAGGCAAATTGGAGAGCACTTTAGGTAGAGAAAATAGCATTTACAATGGATATAAGCAGGAAAAAAGTCCACATGAGGAATTGCAAATAGTTCTTCATGGTCTAGCAGGGATGGGGAATGTCTGGCCCGTAGGCCAAAATCATTTTGTCTGGCCTTGCCAAAGCATTAGGGGCGAGTTAAATGTTTGACCAAATATTGCGGGCTAATTTTTAAGTTGATAAATTTGTATGGCCTGTGAATTATGTTACAAATGTTATTTATAACATCATTTATAGAATCATTTATACAAACCCTTGGCAAAAGAAAAAAAGGTTCCCCATCCCTGGCTAGAGGAAAAGATGCCTATAAAGGAAAGGAAATAAGGTTGGAGAAGACGACAAGCGAAATCATAAAGGGCTTTCTAAGTCTATGCTGAGGAGTGTGCGTTTTATCCTGCAAGCAAAAAAGTGTCATCGAACAATTTTTAGCTGGAAGGTAATATGATCAGATTTAGAAATACATAGAATAGATTCGAAGGATAAGAAACTATTTAGAGTAACCCAAGAAAGAATAATAGGAACTTGAATTCAAACAGTGGCAGAAGGAATAGAGAAACAGTAAGAGATCTGCAAGATATTTAAGAGACAGGATAGAAAGAGTATAGCCAAATAGATATAGAAAATGAAGCAAATATTAAAAAATGACTCAATTCCTGACTTGAGTGAATAAATATAAATGAGTAAGACCCAGCTGGCGTGGCTCAGTGGTTGAGCGTTGACCAGGTCACGATTCAATTCCTGGTCAGGGCACAGGCCCATGTTTTGGGCTCAATCCCCAGTGGGGGACTTTCAGGAGGCAGCAGATCAATGATTCTCATCATTGATGTTTCTATTTCTTTCTCCCTTTCCCTTCCTCTCTGAAATCAATAAAAATATTTTTTTAAATTAAATAAAAATAAATGAGTGAGAGTCAAAAATAGAGGAAACAAGAGGAACAGCAGTTTTGGAAGAAGTAAATTTGTGAAATTTTAAACTAAAAATTTTGTGTAACACACAGAGCTCTCTTCACACTCTTTTTTTCACTGTTCTTTTAGATTTTTTTAAAATATATTTTATTGATTTTTTTACAGAGAGGAAGGGAGAGGGATAGAGAGTTAGAAACATCGATGAGAGAGAAACATCAATCAGTTGCCTCCTGCACACTCCCTACTGGGTATGTGCCCGCAACCAAGGTACATGCCCTTGACCGGAATCGAACCCGGGACCCTTGAGTCCGCAGGCCGACGTTCTATCCACTGAGCCAAACTGGTTAGGGCTGTTCTTTTAGATATTACTTATCAAGGAATCTGGATGAAGAGAAAGGTATATGATAAGAAAAGCACTCTGATCATACTCACCAGTAATTTCACAGTAATTATCTTCTGAAGTCTTATTCCTAAAATATAAAAAAATATTTTAAAAATCTGTATCACAATTACCAAGAATTATAACAGTTGAATAATAATGCCAATTGCCTTCTACAATTTATACCCACTAGCAATGAGTGATGTTTTACCTATGTTCTTAGCTAATTAGATGAAAAATTATATCTCAATAGTCTTTATTTCTCTTCTGAAGATAAGCATCTTTTCATGTATTCAAAAGCTACTGGTATTTACTTTTCTATGTATTAATATTATAAAAATAAACTTAATTAAAAAATCTGAAGATTGGTATTTATTTTACTAGAAGCCTGGTGCATGAAATTCATGCACTTGAAGGGGGAGGGGGTCCTCAGCCTGACCTGCACCCTCTTGCAGTCCAGGAGCCCTCAGGGGATGTCCGACTGCCGGCTTAGCGCTATCGTGGAGACAGGAGAGGCTCCTGCCACCACTGCTATGCTTGCCAGCTGTGAGCCTGGCTTCTGGCTGAGCAATGCTCCCCATGTGGGAGCACACTGACCGCCATGGGGCAGGTCCTGTGTTAAGCATCTACCCCCTGGTGGTCAGTGCATGTCATAGCGACCTATCATTCCACCGTTTGGTCGATCTGCATATTAACCTTTTATTATATAGGATACCAGCTGATGTATTTAAGGATTTATAAATGAAAGAGTATTTCATCACTTTATTAAAAGAATAAGCCTTACAATGCACATACTTATCCTACATAATAAAAAGCTAATCTGCTAATTAGACCACACAGAAGAACGACCTTCCGGAACAACCAGTGGGCAGGGACTGTGGGGCCACAGGGCCATGAGGCAGCCAGGGCTGTGAGGCAGCTGGGGCCAGGAGGGCCAAGGCAGCTGGGGCCCCAAAAGCCTACTCTTGCATGAATTTCGTGCATCAGGCCTCTAGACCTACATAATAAAAGGGTAATATGCAAATTGACCAAAAGGCAGAACGACTAGTCGCTATAACACACACTGACCACCAGTGGGCAGGCACTCAATGCAGGAGCTCTTGCAGTGCTCACAGGGGGAGTGATGCTCAGCCAGAGGCCAAGTTCACAGCTGGTGAGCACAGCAGCGGTGGCAGGAGCCTCTTCTGCCTCTGCTGCAGTGTTAAGTATGTCCGAATGATAACAGTGGGACATCCCCGAGGACTCCCAGATTGTGAGAGGGTGCAGGCCGGGCTGAGGAACCGCCCCCCCCCCATGTGCCCTTGACTGGAATCAAACCTGGGACCCTTCAGTCCACAGGCCAACCCTCTATCCACTGAGCCAAACCAGCTAGGGCAACAATTTGTTTTTTAAATTATTCCTAAATATTCCACAAAAGGGATACAAAAATAAAAAACTAAAAAGATATTAACTTAGTGTGGCTGGTGTTGCTCAGTGATTAAGCAACAACCTATGAACGGTGTGATTCCTGGTCAGGGTACATCCCTGGCTTTTGGGCTCAGTCCCCAATAGGGGGCATGCAGAAGGCCACCGATCAAGAATTCTCTATCATCAATAATGTTTCTCTCCTCTCTCTCCCTCTCTCTGAAATCAATAAAAACATATTTTTTAAAAAGGACACTAATTTAAAAAGTACTTTATTAGTAGGAATAAATAACTTTAAAATATAATTTGAATCACATTTTTCTTACTTACTGTATAAACAGAACATTTTCTCTTGTTTCTGTTTCTAAAAATTAAAAAAAATTAAAGTTTTCAAAGATACTCTGATAAAGCATTAGAAAAATTAACAAGAATAAAAAAATACTGCCCTCCCCCGACACAAGATATACTTTTCAACCAATAAAATAAAGAATAAGTTATACCAATTATCTGGTTAGATAACCACAGTAAATTTTTATACAAAACAGACTCGAAGGAATTGCATTAATATGTTACCTGCAATTTCTGACTTTCTCTCTATTTTCATATGAGATTCTGTCTGATATACCCTAGAAAAGAAAGTAAAGATTAATGAAAATCTGTCATTTTGAATTAGAACACTATGATATTAATTCATACTGTTTTTATTTAAACATAATAAAGGTCATATATGACAAACCCACAGCTAACATCATACTCAATAGGGAAAAACTAAAAGCATTTCCCTTTAGGTCAGAACAACAAAGGAATGTCCACTTTCTTATTGAACATAGTACTAGAAGTCCTAGCTATAGTAATCAGACAAAAAGAAGAAATAAAAGGCATCTAAACAGGAAAGGAAGAAGTAAAACTGTCACTGTTTGCAGATGATATGATACTATATATAGAGAACCCTAAAAAACCCACCAAAAAACTACTAGAAGTGATAAATTCAGTAAAGTAGCAGGATACAAAGTAAATATCCAGAAATCGATTGCATGTTTATACACCAACTAGAGGCCTGGTGCACGGATTCAGCCTGGCCTGCGGGGATCAGGCTGAAACTGGCTCTCCAACATCCCCCGTGGGGTCCCGGATTGCAAGAGGGCACAGGTCAAGCTGACGGACCCCACCGGTGCACAATCGGGGTCGGGGAGGGACTGTGAGAGAGCTCCAGGATGTGTCCAGCCCATCTCGCCCAGTCCCAATCAGCTGGACACCAGCAGCAAGCTAACCTACCAGTTGGAGTGTCTGCCCTCTGGTGGTCAGTGCGTGTCATAGCGACTGGTCAAACCATTGGACACTTAGCATATTAGGCTTTTATTATATAAGATAATAAACTATCAGAAAGGGAAACTAAGATAACAATCCCATTTAAAATTGCATAAAAAAATCTAAAAATAAATTTAACCCTTTGCAGTCGTTTGTCTACTCTCAGCCACCAAAGCTTTTTTACTGTTCCGGTCTTATGTCTGCTCTCAGCCATCACAGCAAGGAACCGTACGAATCTTAACTCTATTCATTCATGTATCAGTTCATAATTTCTCTGAAAGCTCTTAAGTGTCTAAGCGACCTTGTCACGAACCAAAACATTGCCCCGACAAGTCAGAGATATCGAAACTCAATATAAACAAACGCGGTCGTTCCACACTCACCATGCAAAACACCGTGGCGAGTCAGTCGCCTTTTGAGAGTGAAGAAATCGACAAGCTTTGGAGATACTTCGCAGAATTTCAAATAAAGCTTTACAAATTACGTTTAACTGTAATTAGGCATTCTTGCTTGTTAAGATATTTCAAAATAATACTCCAAAGTGGCAAAAAGAAAGTTACTGAAAGAAGTGTACTGCGAATCTGAAAGTAACGATGAAGAGTTTTATTTTGGCACCTTGAATACTGACTCTGACGTAGAAAGTGATAACGTTTGTAGTGATTCTACTAGTAGTGACGTAGTTCCAAAAAAGAATTAATAAATCTTGTTTATCCTTCATAATCTTGCATGTTATGTATAACTGCTCTTT